TAGGTGGAGTTTAATTATAGCAGTTGGAGGATCTCAAATTAGTTTATTACAGATTTAGTTGACTTTGTAATGTTGGAATGTGTATGACGTTCGAATTGTAAATGATAATTCTTTTTTTAATAAAGAAGCGCTTTTTTTATTTTTCATGCATTGTCATTTATATATTTCAAGTAATAATCTTATATTTTGTGCCTGTATAGATATATGTATAAAATAAATTTATTAATCATTAACATTATGTGATATCAATGTATCATTAATTTAATTGATATTGATGTGTCAAAATATAAAGTGATACCAATGTATCATAAATTTAAGAGTTTTTTATATAAATATTACCATTAATGCTTGGATTTACAAAACAATGACTATATGTCCATAACTACCAATCACGTAGAACAACCTTAGAGTAATTGTAGGAAAACCACCTTGTTATTGTAAACATTAGTCATATTTTTGTTAGAAAGATTTAAAGTAGTAATATTTGTGTAATTTTTTCTAAATTTAATTGATACTAATGTGTCAAAATATATAGTGACATTATTTTATCATAATTATTTATGATACATTAGTGTCATAAATTAGTGACACTTTACCAGTGACACTAAATTTAGTGTCACAATTCCTGACCTTCTTTGACACTTTTCTAGTGTCAGTAAAACTTTCTGTGACACTAATTTAGTGTCACTATAGATCGTTTTTCTAGTAGTGTCAATACAAATCACTTTTAATCTCTTACTTTATATATCAAAATTTTATGAAATTTGAATTGTTTTTTATAGGTTTTGTAGCGGTTTTAATGTAGTTTCTGAATATGTAATTCTTTTTTCTAAAAATAATTTGAGTGAAGACAGTGATCCGTTTGCTTTATCGTCGGACAAACATCGTAAACCGAAAAGTATCTTGTAATTCGGGACGGAGGGAGGACGAGTATATGGTATCAACAAAGTAAGAACAATGTCAGTGGGTTAATCCGTTCATGTGTCATAACTCTTAATAAGTTTATAGACTTTGATAGTAATCACATACTAGTACTACGTAATTCGTAGAATACAAAATAGTGAAAATTGAACAAAGGTCAATGCCCAAACATTAAAAACCCACGGATTGTTCGTAAGAAACGAAGGATAGACTAGTAATTACATTCATCCAATAGTCTAAAAACTTATAAGCACCAATGATGGTTAGGGCATTTTAGGAATGATAAAAATGTTGGTGTAACACTAAAGCAATTTACACTTGTACAATTTGTTTTAGTCATTGTACCATTCATCATTAAATCTAAATCTCCACCTTAACTCCGTTAACTCCAACGGTTTCCAACTTTTGAGTTTCCAACATGATGCCTTCACATTTTAATTATTCTATGCACTTAGATTTATTTGATTTCCGTTTAATTAATTGAATTCCTCATCATGTATTTTACCTTATGCAAAAATTTCGAAAATCATTATTCTATTATAATTATTCTAATTTGTCATGTCTAATTTAATTATTCATCTTATTTTTACTGCTTATTTTATATATATATATATATATATATATTTAAAAATCTTAACATTTCAAAAGTAGGTAGATTAAGAATAGTGAAAGAGGTTATATAACTTTTGAGGGTATGATGGGAAGATAGTGGAATAATGTGATGGAATGAAGAACAAGTCCGGCCAAAAAAAATTGTAATAGTGTATTATTTTCAAAATTATTGGGGGCATGATGAGAAGATTTTTTTCGTTAAGAACAAAAAAGGAAAGTGAGAAGTTTTTTTTTTTGTTACAGATGGAGTAAGTAGTAGTAATAATATTTTTTGGCCGAAGCGGGGGCAGTTGCTCCCCATGCCCCCTAGCTCTTCCAATGCCGATATCGTACTTTAATACTCCGTATATATTAATTTCTCTTATTATAGTGGCATAATAGATGATTATTTGTACAAGTAATTGTGTGCAAATATGAGATTATTATGAACGGAAGATGTTGATCATCACCCCCCATCACCCCCTACTACTCGACCCCAAGTAATATCTAGCCGGCCATTGCAATATTTTATTTCGTATGCTTATCAAAGAGGATTATTAACTTATTGAATCAGAGATATTATTAATTTTACCCATGACACTATGTATAATTCACATTCGTTATTGCACTTGCCTCTTATTACCACATGTTTGGTGCTATTGGATTCAAATATTAAAATGGCATACATGTTTTAGCTAGGCCTTATAAACCTAATCATCCTGCCCACCCTTTCTTAGATTGTTTATTGCCACATTATTGATATTACATTCTTATAGGGCGTTCCGGAACGATCCTTGTCAGGCTTACGGGAACATAGATGTGTCACGCCCCTTTTTGTATCATTTGTTATGTGGGAAAATATGCATAAAGCTAATCTTGTGTGCAAGTTCACATAACTTAAATATATTAATCATTAATATTCACATTATGTTAACCTTGTCAAAATAACATTGGGCATTTTTCCTCGCGCATCGCGCGTTATAGAACTAGTACAATAATAAATTTCAACAGAAAAAGTAAGATGCCGTTTAGAGGTCATAAAAAGGGCTGATAAGTATGAAAATCGAAAAAAAATGCCAAACACTCATTAAATGGGCTGTTTTGGCTTATTCCTATTATCAGCCAAAAAAGTAAGTAGTAGGCTACTTCTTCCGCTGAAAATTATTATTCTAGCGTTGATGAACTAAATGACTGCTTTATCCTTCTTTTATATGAAGTATTTGCAGTCTTCTTTGGTTGTTCCAGATCTAAAGCCCACGATTTAGTTCATTCTCACTTTTCACTTCCAATGTCCACATCGAGAACTTTTCTTGCTCAGCTGCTCCATATTGCTCTCTATTACTAATTGTTCATATATAAATGTTGTGAGAAGGATTCTTAGATTGTTTTCTAATCTTTGTCAAATCAGCTCTTTAATCGAACTGTTATTTAGCTCTAAGAGTTGTAAATAACAGAGTATTAACTGTATAATACGAAGTAATAGGAAGGAATGAAGGATAGGAATGAAGAGTATAATACAAAATGATAATAAGCTGTAAGAGTTGTTGAGAATGATGTATAAAGTGAAATTTATAATTGAGCTAAGACAATTATCAAATTGTTTGAAATCTTTTTACACTTAATATTTCACACAAATAAACCAATACCCTTTAAGGTAATTCTACATTCAATCAGTCATTTCAGATAGCATATTACCAAACATTTTCACTTCATCAAATTAAGTCCTTAAAGTCTTTTCAGCCGTTTCAGCCGTAACAGCCGTTACCAAACAGGCCCTAAGACTCATCTTGTTATTTGGTTGAAAATAAGATTCAGCCATACCAGCCCATTTAATGGTTGTTTGGCAAATTTTTTGCATTTTTTCAGACCTTTCAGCAAGTCTTTAGTCCTCCAAACGGTCACTAAAACCTCTCTGTCAAAAAATATTATTACTATTTTAGATTTACACAGGTAGGAAATAAGTATCCATCTGAAGCACAAAAACTGAATTTAATACTAGTATGATAAAGGCATGCTTAACTGGGGATGGACCGGGCCTATCTTGGGTGGTACTGGTTTTTTTGGGCTTAAGGCCCGCTACCGCCATGGGATTCAACCGGGATCGGGCCAGACAGGGCCCGGGTAAGGTCGGGCCAATTTTTTAAAAAAAATTAGGCTTTTCTAATTTATTCCTACCCCTACCTTCCAAACCCCGCCAAAACACTTAGCCCAACCCACCTAGCAGCGGCCTTATGCCAAAAAAATAAAAATAAAAATATATTTTGGTCTGGACTGGTCCCCGTTTTCCCTGTCCTGTAGCCCGCCCCTCCCTACCCCCGGTTCGGGCCCCATGGACCGGTCCCGGTCAGCGGTCCGCGTCGGTACTGCACAGTACTAGGTCGGGCGCCGGGCCAGTCCGACCCCTCCTAGTCCATCTAGGGCTGGACTCGGGCCGGTTCGGGCCCGGTTCGGGCCTGGGCCCGGCCGGGCCTCGGGCCAGGAAAGGGGAGGCCCGAGCCCGAACCGCCGGTGGCCGGTTCCGGTTCCGGTTCCGGGCCAAACCGGGCCGGGCCGGGCCGAACCGGCCCAATTAATTTTTTTTTTTTGTTCTCCTATTTAATCCCCTACCCCTCCCCCTCAACCCCAAACCATCCCAAACCACCTCAAATGGCCCAAAATACCTAATCCAACCTAAAACTTAAAAAAAATTCAAAAAAAAAAAATTAAAATCCGGCCCGGACCGGGCCCGAACCGGCCGGACCGGTTCACCAAAACCTGGGCCCGAGCCCGAACCGCCCAGCACCCGGGCCGGGCCAAACCGAACCGGTGGACCCACCGGGCCACGGGCCGGGCCGGGCCAAACAGTGACCGGGCCGGTTCGGTCCCGGGTCGGGCCGCCCGGCCCGAGTCCAGCCCTAAGTCCATCCCTTTACTTAACTTCAAAGAATAAATACAAATTATCTTAACTAAATGAATTACTATTTACAACTGATAAAATTTAGACAGGAGTAAAAAATATACGTAGTACTAAATACACTACCTCTGTTCTTAAATAAGTGCAACAGTCAACATTTCACATTTGTCGAGACACAACTTTGACCATTAATATATATAACTCTCTATTAGTAAAAAAAATTAAAAAATCAAATTTTGAAAATTTATAATGAGACAAATTTAGTAATATTTTTTTCAAAATATATATTAATACATCAATAAATAAAATATAATCAAAATAGAACATGTAAAATTTGCAATGTTACACTTATTTAAGAACGGAAATAGTACTACATATTAATACAATCATTACATTGCAAGTATGAAGTATAAATGTTTTTCCAAGTACGTTACAGAATTCTTAATCAAAATATTAACGATAAAATTTAAAAAAAAAAAAAAAGAATCTTATACTACGTAATACTCTTGTGTTAAGGAATTATATTTTTATTCAGATGACCTTTATTTCTTGTAATAATCTTAACATTTCAAAATCATCTCTCTCTGTTATTTCCCCAAAACAAATTCTTTAATGGTTCTTCCGCAAAATCACGACAATTGCAAACACTGGAACAAGCTACAAGCTAAACAGCGTCCCATTTGAATATCATCATTCAATATATGCTTCGACAGTATCTGCGGGAGAGAGCTGTTTCATAAATCATAACATGGTATACAATGGTAGATAGCCAGATTATCACAATTGTTAACAGATCAAACACCAGATTACAGGTCTGCCCTTGCAAGCAGGTTGATTTAGATTAGCCAGGCCCAACTTTGGGAATATCATAATGCTCACTCATATTAGCCAAATACTGGTTAAAATCTTCAATTCGGTCTCGGTGTGATTTGTTGGCGGTCTTCGCCATCTTTTTCTTATCAATTCTCTCTCTTTGTTCCATGTAGCGTCTCTCTGCTGGGGTGAGATAGTCTCGAGCAGCATCTCCTTCCCCGTTGGTTTTGTTGGCCTCTTTATTCATCTCTTCCTGGTTTCGGTCAACAACTATTAATTCATCACTTTCACCTACAAAATTAAAATTAGCTACTCTGTGACTGAATCTTCATAGACACATATTTTTGCACTATTCCCTATCATTGACATACTAGATTTCTATATGAACTAAAAGATGTTATTATCAGTTCTCATCTCAAATATGGCAAAGCCAGAAATGTTTAAACCAGACCATAATTATTCATATGACCGAATGTTGTCTTTTAAATAAGATATCTGGACAAGAACATTCACACTCGAATCAATCCAGACCACAAATATTCAGACCAAACTAGAAATATTCAAACCAGACCTAAGAAACATGGAAACCTACACAGCTAACGTTTTGCCATTTCAGAAACTTGGAAATGTATGGGAAACCTGAAAACTTCATGTTCCTATGTTTTTACATTTACGTGTTTCCCAATTACATTTTGCGTTCCTGAGAGCTACAGAGGACAACAACAAACAAGAAAGATTTGGACCACGCTAGATCTGAAATAAAATCTGATCAGATATCATTTTCTTAAGTGAACAACACAAGTCTGAACTCTGAACCTATGTAATTAAATCGCTACTCGTTTGCAACTCAGGATTACTTGGTGATTACTCGGCCCTATATTAATTAAACTTAAAAACATAAATGACCCAAAATTCTAGTAATAATGTAATATGTTGGTCTTAAAATTCTTAAATGTGAATAAAATAATAATAATCCTAATAATGAAGTAGTAACAAATCCCTACAATCATAGACATTCTAAATTTCACGAAAATCAAACACCAAGTAATACTTGATTCTGAAAATTTGTCCTAAAGAGGTAAACTAATCTTCATTGGGTTTGAGATCGTCATTTTCTTCTTCATCCACCATGTCCCCAAACTTAAACTGTCTTTGTAATCTTATTTTTCCAATTCTTAAAATACCTACTAATAATTTGTAAGTTCTATAAAACCCCATTTAGTTCAAACTTTTCAGATTTAACCCTAAAAAATCAAATTTATTGGTTGCCGAGTAACTCGGCAAGTCAACCTTGCCAACCTTGTCACCGGGTAATGACAATTGCCGAGTACTTGCGAGTTACACGAAAAATGGAGCAGTGTGACTCTGAGTACTAATCAGGAAGTCCCTACTCCAAGTAGCGAGAACTCATCTAGTATTCGGGGAGTGCTCAGCGATTAGATAACAAATGTCTGAACTGAAGAAGCATCAAATGTTTTTGAGTAAAAAGCCAACAGTTGAAAGCAAATTTGTTACATTAAGAGATGCCTATAGATAAGTAGTCCATACACTTAACAATCCAATAAGAAGGCAAAATTTTATAAAGAACATACACGAAACTCAATTTTCTTGGAAAGGTCATCGAACCTGCAGAAAGTTTAGTTTCCATGACTTGAGAAATCTGATCAGAGCTCTTCTTATGTTTCTTCTTTTTCATTGAACCAGTCTTAACATCCAAGGCCTTACCCTTAAGTTTCAGCTTGCCCACAACAGCATTGTCATATGCAGACATTTCTGTGAAAGTTCAAACACCTTAGATCATGCAGTTTCCCCAAATCTGTAGGATATCACTACCACTACCACTATACATATAAAAGCTGGACCGCCTGGATAACTGTTCCTGCCTGACAATGATGACGTCACTGTGACATCATCATGATGTCATCACGGGATGCTGTGACACGTGATCACAGTGAATCTGCATAATTTTGGCTCTCCTCCATACTAAGGCAACATTTTGGTTGGCCATTAAATTACAGCTTATTAAAACTCCTTAATTTCGAAAAATGTTCATCGTTTAACTGAAATAACAGACAAAGAACGAAACTCAATAACAGCCACTAAGCTTTGATCTATTCATTGCTGATATGGTATAAAAAGATATGTACGAACAAACAAAACAAGATGCAATAAAATAAGAAGACAGTCAGTGATAATCGACTAACCTCGGGATATTGGACGATCGGCGTCGTTTATGATGCGCCCGACCTGAGGGGAAGAGGAGCGGAGAGAGCGTACGACCTTCTGGCTGAGAGTTGAGACGTACAGAGAGATGTAGATCCGATGAATTGGTAAACCAAAGAAGATCGGTTAGGTCATTCCGGATCTTGGGAATGTGATTACTTTTCATTGGACAGGGTCGAGCAGATGGCCCAATAACTTTAAGGGTACGTTTGGTTGGAGATAATCATGTATGTATGTCGGAATCTGATGTCCGGAATCTCAGATACCCGCGTTTGGTTCGCGGGTTTTAAAAAAAAAATTGGGAATGTTAGGGCCTGTTTACTAACAGAGATATTTTCCTGTTTTCTACTTCTGTTTTTCGTTCTCCAATTTTCTGTTTTTTTTTTTTCAGTTTTTCTATCTCCAATTTTCTGTTTCTATTTTTTAGTTTTCCATTTTCAAATTTGAAAACATGTTCATCAATTTTTTCACACAGTTCTCCAATTCCACACCCTTGACCCATACCTCTACCCTTACCACGATCTTACACTCTACCCATACTCCACCATAACCCTTCATACCCATCCATACCTACTCGTAGGGGTCAAAGTAGGGAAGTTATGGGTGGAGGTGGGGTAAGGTGTAACACTTGAGATTTAATATAAACGGATTAATAGGGTGGGGGTAGGATGCGGTAGGGTGGGGCCGAGGTAGGGTAGGGTGGGGGTGGGGGTAGGATGCGGTAGGGTGGGGCCGAGGTAGGAGGCATGTGGTAAGGGGTAAGGTAGGGGTAAATGGTAATATACGAGGGGTGGGGGTAGGGTGGGTCGGGGTGGGGTCGAGGTGGTAGGGGGTGGCGGTAGGGTAGGGTGGATCGAGGTGGGGTCGAGGTGGTAGGGGGTGGTTAGGGTTAAGGGTGGGGTAGTGGGTAGGGTTGGGGTAAGGTAGGGGTAGGGTAGGGAGTTGGGATAGGATGGCGGTAGGGTGGGGAGTTGGGATAGGATGGCGGTAGGGTGGGGTCGAGACCTGGGTGGGGCTGGGGTAGGATGGCGGTAAGGGTGGGGGTAGTGGGTAGGGTTTGGGGTTGGGGTAAGGTAGGGGTAGGGTAGGGAGTTGGGATAGGATGGCGGTAGGGTGGGGTCGGGACCAGGGTGGGGGGTAGGATGGCGGTAAGGGTGGGGGTAGTGGGTAGGGTTTGGAGTTAGGGTAAGGTAGGGAGTTGGGATAGGATGGCGGTAAGGTGGGCCCGGGATCCGGGTGGGGCCGAGGTAGGGTAGGGTGGGGGTGGGGGTAGGATGGCGGTACGAGGGTGGGGGTAGGATGCGGTAGGGTGGGGCCGAGGTAGGAGGCATGTGGTAAGGGGTTAGGTAGGGGTAAGTGGTAATATACGAGGGGTGGGGGTAGGGTGGGTCGGGGTGGGGTCGAGGTGGTAGGGGGGTGGCGGTAGGGTAGGGTGGATCGAGGTGGGGTCGAGGTGGTAGGGGGTGGCGGTAGGGTAGGGTTGATCGGGGTGGGGCCGAGGTCGGGGCATGTGGTGGGGGTGGGGTAAGGTCATTATATGGAAAAATGGGTACGCGGGGTGGGGGTTGGGTGGATAGGGTAGGGGTAAGGGGTAAGGTACGAGGATGGAGGTACCGGAATGGAATCGACATCGGAGCGGGACCGGACTCACCACTAGGTGTAAGTGTGCAAATTCATTGCAAAGGCATTGTAGCATCTGCGTTTTCCAAATTGGGAAAACTAGTAAAAGTCACTTCTCCAAATCATTAAGGAAAAAAGAGACATGTTTCATTTTTTCCATTTTGGAAAACGATTTGGTAAACGCGTTTTTCTTTTTTCCTTTCTCCAGTTTTCCAGGAATTTCTTTAGTAAACACGTTTCCAGTTTTCTGTTTTCTGTTTTCCAGTTTTCCAGTTTTCTGGAAAACTGAAAAATATTTCTGTTAGTAAACAGGCCCTTACATTCCCAAAAGTGAAGAATGTAATCTCATGCCCAGTAATCTTAAACCCATGGAGCTCTTAGGTTATGTTGGATGCCTGGTTGTTCACAACACTTCTTCCAAAAAATACCCCCCACATTTAATCAAGAGGAGGTATAATAACCAAGAAATGTATAAATTTAAATAGGTATTGTAGTAAACTACGTATTAACTACTTTTGGGCTTCAATTAAGTCGAGTTTTGAAAAATTAAGACTCCACTTTGTAATCTCTAATTTTAGCTTATTCTTCTTATTAGCCAACTTTATTAAACACCTAAGTTTTGATTTTACGTATTAAATTGCAAAACAATTATTTATTACTCGTATTTTGAAAAAGTATGATTTAAATTGTTTTTCTTATTTTATTGGTTGAATGATTTAAATTGTTTATTAATTACTCATATTTTAAACAAGTATGATTTAAATTATTTATTACTCGTATTTTAAAATATGATTTAATTGTTTTACGTTATCTAATGTTGCATCGTTTTTTTCAAAATCCCATTATAGGGTTGAGTTTAAAATCTACTTCTTTCGTCCCGTTGAAAGGTTCCCATGAGTAAATGACATGATTTTTTAGGAAAATGATTAAATAAAGTAATTTGAGTAAAAAAGAGAGGAAATAGAAATTGTGAGACATGACATATAATGAGTAGCAAAAAAAATTGAGTAAATGTGTAATTAAAGAGACTACGTTATTTCCTAAAATGGAATCAGAACCTTTAAATGGGACGCCTAAATAAGGAAAATGTCAATCTTTCAACATAATGGAGGAAGTACTTTTATAGTTACATTAATTTTAAATATGTTGAAAATACATCCAAATATAAATTACTTCGAATGTAGGTTATAATAAATTTATTGTGTTATAAGAGAAAATATTTGAAGGACATTGAAGTAATTTATCAAGTTTGCAATATAAGATAACATTCAACCAAACAAATTAATGTCACATTCCCTTAATCTTAACCAAACACAAATGAGATAAAGATTGAACACATTCCCATCAATCTAACATACTCAGTAATCTGACATTCCCATGGTAATCTGACATCTCTTGAACCAAACAGACCCTAAGTCTTTAACAAATTATTACTCCGTACATACGAGTACTTTATATGACTAAAATAATTTTAAAAAAAAAGTGATTAGTAAAATACGTAGTAGAATCATAGTGAGCAGATTTTAAACAACCATTCTGGATATAAAAAAAATTAGAAGAGAACTCGGGTACCCATTTAAAAAATGAGATATCGTACCTGCCATTCACTTGATTGGTCCAAATAGGTATATCATTTTTAATTTAGACTTAAATAATTCAACTGCAACATTTTGATTGGTTCATGTGGTCAAAGGTATGGTACTTTATGGGTACCATAGAATCTACCAAAAGTTATACACATTTGGCACAATTTTTGGTATACATGGATAATTGTTGCCTTTTTCTAAACAAACTGCTTGTATACAAACAATTAGGGTGTGCACATTTTATGTACATTTTACACTAAACTTGTGTGCAAATGCATTGATTTTTTTTTAAAATGAGATGTCTGTGTACATAAGAGAGTGCGCCAAGTGTGTACAATTGTTGTGTTCAAATGAATATTTTCGATTTTAAATTGTACTCCCTCCCTTTGGGCTCTTAAAAACTTGTCAACTTTCTTTTTTAGAAATAACAACAGCAATAAAATTTACATGAGAAGACTGTCAAATACGTTGTCGTACTATTGTGAATAAGTGAGTTGGTTCCTTTTAGTATTCTTCGAATCAATCAAGTCCACTAAGAAAAAAAATCAATCAAATATCCCATTTCAGCGGTAACTAATTGATATCCAGCATCCGCTGATGTGGATGTCCACGTGTATATTCCGAATCACCCACTTATTTTCACATGTATTAAGTATTTGCAAGCAAAACTACCCACACGAGCCTTTACTTTATTTCGTTTGAAATAAAAACTTTTTCGTCGTTCTCAACAAACCCTCTTGCCAACGGTTACTGAAATCAACCCTACCTCTGTCACAAATGCGCTTAAATAAGTGATTGAGTTGTTCGTAAATCGGAAGTTTACGTCAATCGGAAGATTGTCCCTGTTCAACGATCCACGTAAGTCTTCATTATACAAGGTTAGAGTTTAGTAATTTTAAAATTTTGGGGTCTTTTATGTTTTACCACCACTTAATATTTTCTTTACATGAACATATGGAGGCTATTTAAGGTTATCACGAGTTGTATTAATCTTCTACAGAACGATTTAGCTTATATGTGCATGTATTAGTTGTGATGAATTTGTGATTTATTGGGGCCTCCGAACTGAACATGGTGTTGTATGTGTACAAAATGTTTGACACTGTGGAGCTCATAATACATCATGGAGGAAACTTTGTCAGCGTTCCTGAAACTAAGTACATAGATGGTGAAGTGGAATGCATTCCAGTTGATCTTGACCTCATATCCTTCCCTCATTTAATGAAGGCTTTAAAAACTATAAGCTATGGTAATATTAGGGGGATGTATTTTAAAAGACCAAGTGAACTGAGGGAGTTGCTTCACCACATGTTCAATGATAAATCAATACTTCATTTGATAGATATGGCTTCAAGTTGTGGAAAATGTGACATTTTATGCTGAGTATGGTTTGGATGAGGTTGAACTAGTTGAACTAGTCCTCCCTTTACCGGCCCCAACTGAAGTGGTTGAGGAAACTGTGGTCAATACAAAAAACACAGGGTGATGCAACTTGTCAGACTGAACCATAAACTGAAGTGGTTTAACAAATTGAGGTGAATACAAAGGAATCATTGGGTTATGCAACTGGTGAGACTGATCCACCAGGTGAAATGGTTGAAGAAATTGAGGTGAATACATCTGATGAAGCACAGGGTGATGCATGTTGTGAGACTGAACCACAAACAGGAGGAAGCAGCTTCTGAAACTGAAACACAATGTGATGAGACTGAACCACAGGAGGAAGTGGCTTCTGAAACTGAAGCACATGGTGATAAGACTGAACCACAGAAGGAAACAGCTTCTGAAATTGAAGCACAGGGTGAAGAGGATGTTAGAACCACAACTGGGGAAGGAATGGATATGCACGGTAAGGAAAATAGTGGTGTGGAGGCTGACAGTGTAGAGTATAATTCATCCAATCCTCCAACCTATGTTGGCGATGAAGAATCATATGATGGTAACTCTACATGTGCAAAAGTG